AAAAAAAAAAAAAAAAAAAAAAAAAAGAAGGGGTGATCCCCTTCTTTTATTTTTTATTTTTTTGATTCTGTTGATTAGGACCGGCATGGAAATTGCAGTTTGGTGGTCTGCCTGCGTTTCCCTCCCACCCAGCCCCCTGTCTGTTTCCTCAGCTTGGTAAGTGCCACGTCAGCAGGCCACGTCCGTAGCAGTGCCACGTCAGCAGGCCACGACAACAGTGCCACGTCAGGGCCACGTCAGCAGTACCGCGTCATCAACACCGTACAGCTAACTGCAGCTTATGCTCTGACGCAGCAACCGCATTGCAGCACGGGAAGGGCGGGCAGCCGCAGCAGAACAGCAGCTACCTCTGCCCCACCCCTCTGAAATGGACACCCAGGGAAACCCCACGGTGGACAATGCCGCATCCGGCAGTCCACGTGAGGCGTGCAGCTCGAACCCCCCGGCCCCACAGGCCCAGCAGGAGGGTTCCACTGCGACTTCTGTGGGAACCCTCGACGCTGCACCAGTCCTGCAGCAAGGAGAGACCACGACGGCCTTCCTGGCCCGCCTGGGCACCTACATGCAGCAAGTCCGAGAGGAGCAGCAACGCGAGGCGGCAGCCGAAGCAGCACGCCTTAATGCCATTGCACGCGCAGAAGAGCAACGACGCCGGCAGCAAGCTGACGCCCCTGCCAACCACGACAAAGCTCGAAGAGATGTCGTGTTTGTCCTCATGCAGCAGGAAGCCGCTCATACCGCCGCACTCCAAGCATGGCATGTTGATCCGGCGGAAACGACGGGACCAACTACGGAGGACCAGACTAAGTCAGCTCTCGCCAGCATGATGCGCCAAGTCATCCTCACTTGTAACTGGCAACAAGTGGAGCTGGCTTGGCAGGCACGTACCATTACTAAGTACGAGGAGACTCTCAAGAGCCTCCACGCCCGCCTTGACATGCTGGAGAAGGATGACGTGCCGCACAGGCACACGACATCGTCAAGCATTGAACCATCGATCCCCGAGCTGGAAGGACGGCTGGATCACCTAGTCGCGCTTGTCGGCAATTTGAATAGTTTCCGACACCCGACGACCATCAGCCAGCAAATAGCCGCCCTACAAGCAGATCTGCGTCAACTGCAGCAGCAACCAACTGGGACCTGCAACAACGTGACGCCGAAACAATTCAAGATGCCGAAGTTCAGCATCGACAAGTTTGATGACTACCACAAGGCGGATCCCATCAGTTGGTGGCAAGGGTTCACCAATGAGCTCTCCATCCACTTGGTCCCGCCCGAGTCTAAGATCTCAACGTCTACCTCTGCAGCACTGGTGCCAGCCAAGTGTGGCTCAACCATCTGGCTCAAACCGAGGGCGTCGAAGTCTCTAAGCTTCACACCAAGATCACTTGGGAGGCCATGACTGAGAAGTGGCGGAAACGCTTCATCGTCGACGACGCTCAGGGAAAAGGCGTGAACTGGATCTTCAGCATGCATCAAGGCAGCCAGCCAACACTCAAATGGCTAACCGAGTGGCAGAAAATCGTGACGATTCTAAATTTGGACATCCCATTCGTACATCTTCGTCGCGAACTTTTCCAGTGGTCAGTTGACGCGTTGAGCACGGCCCTTGGGGAGCGCAGCGTGTACACGGACTTCAACCAGATCGTGGAGAAGGCGCGCGAAGTCATCCAAACCAATTGGTGGGTAGTTAACGAGCGGTGAAGCCAACTGAATTTTGTGGAAAAGGGCAAAGGCCCGTGGCCGCAGCAAGTCGCTGCTGTCCAAGGAAATGGACGAGAACAACCAGGCGATGACTCACGAGTCTAGTGAAGGAGACGGAGTCAACGCCCTTCTGCCACGACGCAACAACAACAACAACAATAACAACAACAACAAGGCAAAATTTGCATCAACAACGGAAGTCGGACAACCGAATGAGCCATGGAAGAAGTTCAGCCTCACGGAGGAGCAATACAAACTCCGCCAGAGGTGGAACTGTTGCTACTAGTGCAACAGCACCAAGCATACAATGTCGCAATGCCCTGACAAAGGCAAAGAAGACGTTCGTCCACGGCAAAGCTCGGGAAACTGAGCTTCGCGGGAAGTGAGGCAACTCCACTTCCTACTCCGCTGGACATTGTTGCATTGCTAGCAACCTCCTCCATGTCCGGGGAACATGCGTATGTCGCAAGTCTTCACGACTATGAAGACTATGTTGTCCAGCTGGTCCCGCCGTTGGACCAACCTCTCCACGTGCAAGGGTCTTATGCGTGAGCGACTTCATCACCATCGCCAAGCGAACCAGCGTCCTCGCCAACATCACTCGGGGACTCGTCGGTGTGGTCTAGACTTGAGGAACTCGACCCATTGACACCGGAGGACTTCCAATGGTTGCCTCTTCCCCCATCTGGTTCCTTGCCGAAGCCGCATTGCAACGCCCTAATGGCGGAGCTACGCAACTACTTGCACGCTGCAGTGTACCAACTCCGCTGATGGAAGACGGAGTAGCGGTTGTTGACCTCCGCGAGTACATTGCGAAGATTGACCGCGAGTACGCCACGCAACGGTACGACGACACCGACGCGCCATTACTCTACGTCCGCATTCAGATCGAGAAGCCTTCGTGCAGCGCCTTGATTGATTGTGGAGCTACTCGCAACTACATCAGCCAGGATTTCATGACCCGCGCCGGCCTTGGGCCGCGCGTTCGAAGGAAATCGCAGCCCGCTCAAGTCACGTTGGCCGACGGTCGTATGCACAAGTCCATTGACCGGTGCATTGACTCTGTCCCCGTGTACTTCGCCCCGCTTGCACGCGAGGCCATGTCCTTTGACATATTGGACACAAAGTTCGACATGATCTTGGGTATGTCATGGCTCCGAAGCGAGGACCACCCGGTGAACTTCTACCGCCGCACCATTCACGTTCGTGACCGGAATAGGGTACTTGTGCCATGTACGGTCCCCCCACCTCATCCTTCGATTGGTTGTCACGTGGTCTCTGCGGCGAGCATTCGACTCCATCGCACGGAACGACGTGGAGGAAATGGGCATTTGTTTCTTGCACGCCCTCCCTCCTCCTGACGAGCCAGCGGCGGAACAGCCACCGGACCCACGCACTGTACAGCTTCTTGACTCCTATGGCGACGTCTTTGAAGCCCCCGCTGGAATCGTACCGAATCGGCCAATTCGTCACGAGATCATCCTCGAAGACGGGGCTGTACCTCCGCGCGGATGTATTTACCGCATGAGCGAGGAGGAACTCAAAGTGCTTCGAACGCAACTCGAGGACCTCATTGATAAGGGCTGGATTCGCTCTAGCTGCTCGCCCTACGGTGCACCTGTTCTCTTCGTTCGGAAGAAGAACAAGGAGCTGCACTTATGCATTGACTATCGCAAGCTTAATGCTCAAACCATTAAGAATGTCGGCCCACTTCCACGCATCGACGACCTCAAATCCGGTTACCACCAGCTCGAGATCCATCCAAGAGATAGGTACAAAACGGCGTTCAAGACACGGTACGGGCACTTGGAGTGGATCGTAATGTCATTCGGCCTTATGAATGCCCCGGCCACCTTCCAAGCGGCAATGACAACGGAGTTTCGCGACATGTTGCACCGGTTCGTGCTCATCTACCTCGATGACATCTTGGTGTATAGCCGAACTTTGGACGAGCACATCGTGCATCTACGTGCTGTTTTGGACAGGCTACGCACGGCCAGTACAAGGCCAACCGAGCCAGGTGCGAATTCGCACAGCAAGAGCTCAAATACTTGGGCCACTTTGTGACGCCACAAGGCATCAGTCCGCTTGCGGACAAGATCAAGGCCATTCCGGATTGGCCGGAACCGACCAACATCACGGAGGTTCGCTCTTTCATGAGATTGGTCGGGTACTACCAACGCTTCGTCGGAGGATACGCACGGATCGCCGCACCTTTGTCTAGATTGCAGTCTCCACAGGTGCCCTTCCAATTCACCGACGAAGTCCGCAGTTCGTTCCACAAATTGAAGACGGCGTTGCTCCTCACTCCCGTCTTGAGTATCTATGATCCCACCTTGCCTACGAGAGTGACTACGGACGCTTCCAGCTACGACATGGGTGCAGTTTTGGAACAACACGACGGAGTAGACTGGCATCCGGTCGAGTACTTCAGCCAAAAGGTGCCTCCCATCAACTCCGTTGATGATGCGCGGAAGGAGTTGCTCGCGTTCGTCACGGTACTCGAGCGTTGGCGACACTTCCTCCTCGGGCGTCGTAGGTTCACTTGGGTGACGGATAAGAACCCATTGACCTACTAAAAGATGCAAGACACGGTGAGCAGCACGATTGCTCGGTGGATGTACTTCATCGATCAGTTCGACTTCACACCGAAACACATTCTGGGCCTCTCCAACCGAGCCGCGGATGCTCTCTCGCGAAGATCAGATCTTTGCGCAGTGACTCACCACGCGTTCAATTTCGACGAAGCCCTTCATCAGCATTTTGTGCGAGAATACAAGTCCAATCCAGAATATGCCACGCTCTACGAGCAACTATCCACGGATCACCCGTCGGCCAGTCACTATCGCGTCGTCGATGGCTACTTGCTTCTTCACTCACGCGGCAAGGATTTACTATGCGTCCCACACGACCGTCGCCTACAGACCCGCCTCCTCGGAGAGTACCATGACTCGAGACTCGCTGGCCATCTCGGCATCTCAACCGTACGATCGCAAGACTTCGGCAACGATTCCGGTGGCCCGACCTCATCAGCGACGTCACTCGGTATTGCGACTCTTGCGAAGTTTGCCGACGAAGCAAACCCCGCAATCGCAACCCCTACGGTGAGTTACGCCCGTTGCCTATTCCATGGGAACCCGGCCTCTCCATTGCTATTTACGTCATTGGCCCATTCCCTCGGGACCGCTTCGGGCACGACGGCATTCTCACGGTCGTTGACCGATTGAGCAAGTACGCACGATTTCTTCCGTGCAAGTATTACGCCACGACTCCTGAACTTGAGCGCCTCTTACACACCGGCTGGATTTGCGGCCACGGCGTTCTGGAAGACATCGTCAGCGACCTCAACACTTGTTTCATGTCGGCATTTTGGACCTCTCTCATGAAAGAGTCCGGCACCGAGATGAAACCAAGTTCGGCTCGGCATCCGCAAACGGACGGGCAGACGGAGCGGGCACATCAAACCGCTCAAGTAATGCTTCGCACACTCATCCGCACGGATCAGAAGGATTGGGCGGAATGCCTCCCCGACATCGAATTCGCCTACAACACTTCAGTTCACCCAGCGATCGGCGTGACTCCGTTCGAGTTACACCACGGTGGCCGGAAAGGCTGCATCTTCGCTGATCTTCCTTTTCCAAGGAATGTCGACATTGACGCCGCTTGTTCGCCCGCCTCCGTTCGAAAGTATAGGGACTTGCTGGCTAAAGCCCGCGCCAACATGGAAAAGGCTCAATTCCGCATGCAACAGCAAGCTAACAAGCGTCGCGGGCCATGCCCCATCCACGCCGGCGACCTTGTTTGGGTCTCCACGGAAGAGTTTGCACTCGAGCATGATGTATCCCGCGAGCTACTTCCGAAGTGGTTTGGACCATGGCCTGTCACATCAGCCGCGGGTGATGAGCCCGATGGCCCCTCATTTGTGATCGAAATCCCGCCTCATCTCACGGTGCACCCGGTTTTCCACGCCTCCAAGCTGGCCACATATACACCAGCCAAGAGCGACGACTTTGCGGGGCGACGATCACAGGACCCCCCTTCCATGGACGGTCATCAGGAAGTCGACCGCGTCATCACGCATTGCAAGCATGGCAACAAGCCTGTGCAGTACAAAGTCACATTCAAGTGGTGCGACCCCGATGACACACGATTGATTTCCCGGGCAGCTTTGCGAGCCTCCTCGCCTGACATCTATGCCCATTATGAGAAGAAACGGCTAGCGACGGAAGCTGCACATTGCGAGCCTCCTCGCCTGACATCTATGCCCATTATGAGAAGAAACGGCTAGCGACGGAAGTTGCACAGCCTCCCACCCGGACATCAGTCCCTCCCTCCACCAGACAGCTTCGCCCTTGCAGGTAAGCTCGGTCTTTCAAGGAGGGGGGAGTGTGGCATACTCCGTACCACACGGGCCCAACAAAGCCCAACCTGGTAGACTAAGGGTCCGTAGGAGTAGAGCATGTGTTGTTTCAGCCTAACAGCCTGAAACGAGGACCTACAGACCCTATGTCGTTTCGGCCTCCAGCTTCAAAATGACAGGCCATTTTTCAGGCCCTCGCAAGATCGACCTACCCTGAAACTCTAGCACCAGACCGGGGTTTTAGCTCAGGCCATGATGGCCTATTTTGTGGAGCGTCAACCCCAGGGTCTGGCACGTTTTGGCATAGGCACGAGCAGCCTCTCGGACGGGCCAGCACTATATAATGCTGACCCGCCCTATAGGTTGCAGGCAGTTCCCAGGCACTTCACGTGCAAAGGGCAGGAGGTAGTCTTCAGGACTCGACAGCGGCACTCTGGAGGAGTAGTAGCGATAGCAGTAGTCTTCAGCGCTGGGCGCTAGTAGGAGAGAGAGATGGTTGGCGGAGGCCAGGGATACTCACCTGTGGCCCCATAGCTCCAGCTTTGTCTTCGATGTACCTGCAGCAAGGCGCCACCTTCACAGGTTAGAGAGAGAGAGAGAGATTGAGTTCTTCTTCTTCCTCCTCTAAGTCCACCATCTTTTCCTCACCCTCTCTCCCCCTGACTTCTCTGTATCTACCAGCTACGAGAGAGAGAGAGAGAGAGAGAGAGAGAGAGAGAGAGAGAGAGAGAGAGAGAGAGAGAGAGAGAGAGATGGGCGACATTGGGATTTGATGACATTTGGGTTCAGACTCAGCATCGGGATTCAGACCTTTGGCGAGGGATTATTTGGGACTGTATCGAAGACTGGTGTTGACGACATTTCCATCTTCCCCCGCCCCTTCGTCTAATCCCCCGCTTCTTCATCTGTGCATGACCGGGGACTGACGCATTCTTCCCGTGTAAGCGTCAGCCCCCTTCACACCATGGAATGATGATGATGCATGTTGGGTCTGCATGGTAGCTTGATTGATCGGATCATTGGTATCTAAGCCTTCCGTTGTGCTATCTTGTATCTGGCGAGAAAGGTCGGTTCTTGGTCTGGTCTGCACCGTTAGGGTATGCAACAGCATGTGAGAGAAGGAAGAAGGGGAAGCCATGGCTATGGTGGACCTGTTGTTGTGTCAGCAGTAAGAGGGAACTTAAGATATTGATTCTGGTTCATCCACTCATTGTTGGTGACATTGGGATTTGACGACATTTGGGTTCAGACTCAGCATCGGGATTCAAACCTTTGGCGAGGGATTATTTGGGACTGTATCGAAGACTGGTGTTGACGACATTTCCATCTTCCCCCTCCCCTTCGTCTAATCCCCCTCTTCTTCGTCTGTGCATGACCGGGGACTGACGCATTCTTCCCGTGTGAGCGACAACCCCCTTCACACCATGGAATGATGACGATGAATGTTGGGTCTGCATGGCAGCTTGATTGATCAGATCATTGGTATCTAAGCCTTCCGTTGTGCTATCTTGTATCTGGCGAGAAAGGTCGGTTTTTGGTCTGGTCTGCACCGTTAGGGTATGCAACAGCATGTGAGAGAAGGAAGAAGGGGGAAGCCATGGCTATGGTGGACCTGCTGTTGTGTCAGCAGTAAGAGGGAACTTCAGAGATTGATTCTGGTTCATCCACTCATTGTTGTTATTATTATTGGAAGAAGTCAAGGATGCGGAGGAAGGTGGAGAGAGAAGGGGGGATTTGTCATTCGTCTTGCTGGTGTACTTCTTCTTCTTCTTCTTCTACTTCTTCTTTGGTCTCTATCTCTTTGCAAGTGCTTTCAATTCTTTCGCAATTGGGTGGCATTGTCTTTCCTCGTGAAATTGCACTTTGGAAGTGACCAGGATCGTAACCATTGGAATCGGAGCGGACTGACTTGCTGGCGAGAGGTGTTAGTCACCCTAACCCTAATTCCGAATTAGGTTAGGGCTAACGTAATCTCGGATTAGGGTTGGAGGTTAGGGTTAAGAGGGGCAGTAAGGTATGTGGATGTTGCCCCCACCTGGTTAGGTCATGTAGGGTCGACATCAGACCTAATGAGGTTGCTTGAGTGATTGAATGGGGTGGCGAGGCACAAAGGAGGCTAATTGGAGTAAGTGAGAGGGAGTAGAGAGTGAGAGGTAATCACGCCTGGAATTTGGACTTCAAGAAGACATTGAGTGACTTATGGGCTTCCCATCAAGAGGGAGACTTGACCGGAGGCTGCCATATCTGCATCAAAGAGTTGCAAGTTGCTACTTTGGTCTTTAACATCGACGGAGGATCTAGTCTTGTAACATGGGTGTAGGAAGGCCCTCTTAGCGTGCCAAGACACTTCGTGTAGTGGTAGCTAGGGGTCAGGAGGACCTACGAGAGAGGGGGGTGAGTCGTTATTCATCTTTGGAGGCTGGGCGTCAAAGGCAAGTGTCGTGTGACTTGGGTATGCCCGTGGGTGGTTGCTTGGTGCTTCATGGCCTGTTGGGGTCTTGTAGCACGCTGAGGCGTGTACACGGGCCCTTTTTCTTAGGGCCCGACGACTGTTAGGGGCCCCGAGGCTGCACACAATTTTTTGGCTGTGCAACCTGGTGAAACGTTGGCGCCTCAGGGAAGGGTGCGCCGGCTTGATCGTCATCTGTTTGTACGCATGTTGAGTGTCGAGAAAGACAAGCCTAATTGCATTGACATCAGAGCTGGTTCCCGTTGTCTTGTCGTCGTCATCCACGTCATCGCCGTCGGCGCTGAGGAGCGGAGAGAGTGCCACGTCAACGCCTCAGGGAAGGGTGCGCCACGTGAGGTTGCCCGCACGCCAGAGGGAGGAGACCGATCGGCGCTAGAAAGAAGATAAGCACCGCCATGTCAGCCGTCAAGTCCGACGTTGCCCCCGACCGCGCTGCTGTGGAGCGCGGGATTTCACGTCTCGTTTTGTGCTGCTGATCCACCGTGAGTTGCTTGCTGCCACATCCTACTTGCTATCACGCGCGTGTTCAATGCCCGTTGCTGCGCGCCCTCGCCCGCGCGCTGCCGCTGCACGCTAAGTTGATATCGCGCGTCGCTGTCACTTGCCGCGCACCAGCTTTCCCGCACTTCGCACCACTGCCCGCTGCGCGTCGCTGTTAAGCCTTGCTATCGCGCGCAAAGTGCCACACGTCGATTGTTTCACTGTGTGCCCGCTGCTAAGCCTCGTGCGCATGCACGCGCCATTGCCGCACGTCTAGTTATCGCACGCGCCCGTTGACGTATGTGTGTGCTATTGTGCACACTAGAGGAGAGAGCCGCGTCTCGTTTTGCGCTGCTGATCCACCGTGAGTTGCTTGCTGCCACATCCTACTTGCTATCACGCGCGTGTTCAATGCCCGTTGCTGCGCGCCCGCCCGCTGTCGCTGCACGCTAAGTTGATATCGCGCGTCGCTGCCACTTGCCGCGCACCAGCTTTCCCGCACTTCGCACCACTGCCCACTGCGCGCCGCTGTTAAGCCTTGCTATCGCGCGCAAAGTGCCACACGTCGATTGTTTCACTGTGTGCCCGCTGCTAAGCCTCGTGCGCATGCACGTGCCATTGCCGCACGTCTAGTTATCGCACGCGCCCGTTGACGTATGTGTGTGCTATTGTGCACACTAGGGGAGAGAGCCGCCTCGCTATTGAATGGAGAAGCCGCCGCGCCGATTAAAGAAGAAGGCTGCTGCGGTGGGAGGAGAACACCGTGCGATGAGGAGGGAGACTACCGTTGCTGAAGAAGGGTCGCTAGATTAAAGAAGACCGCCAGTCTCGCTGCAGCTTTGAAGAGAGCTATTGTGTTGAGCAAGAGAAGGGCAATCATAGCCGTTGTGCTGTACGTGGAAGAAGAAGACGACGACGACGAACGAGAGAGAGAGAGAGAGAGAGAGAGAGAGAGAGAGAGAGAGAGAGAGAGAGAGAGAGAGAGAGAGAGAGAGAGAGAGAGCTTGAGCGATACAAGATTGTGGCCGCCATAGCCGCCAAGCTCGGACCCTGCGACGAAGGAGGAGGCTGGGAGTGACGAAGAAGAGAGAAAGGAGGAAGGAGAGATGGAGAGGGAAGGAAGCCATAGCCAAGGTGGGCGAAAAAGAAGAGAGAAGAGGGAAGGAGAGAGAGAGAGAGGTTGGGGAAGGAGAAGGGAGAGAGAGAGGTTGGCGAAGGAGAATGGTTGGCAGGCATAGCCAAAGGACGGAGCTTCGACCGGAAGGTTGATCGGTAGGTTTGACCAAGTTGACCAATCATTGACCAGCGTTGACCGGAGGCCGTTGACCGTGATTTTGACCAAGTTGGAGTCAATATAATCTCGCCAAGCCTTCGGCCTACCCCTCGCCCTATGGATGTGCACTCACCTCTTGGTACTTGTTGAGTTTGTCTGTCTCTTCTTTATGCATTGTGTCACTTCTGTCCATGTTGAAAGGAGTCTGTGAATGAGGTCATAGAGTTCACCAAACCTACACGGGCTGAATAGGGCTCAAGTCCATGTCTGACGACTGACACGTTCGGGAGTCCTAACCCTTTCAAGGACCGGTACAGACCAGTGGGCTGCTCAGTGTGGCACAGTAGACCCAAAATTCGAGCTGTGGGCAGCACAGCCGGCTATCTAAGTCTTGAGAGAACTCTGCTGATCACGTCGTCCTGACTGCGACGTTAAAGAGTTCCTGAGGAGTTATGGGGGATCTCCTTAAATTCCTCCTGATCAGCAACAAAGTGCTATAGTGACAGCCTAGAAGTAGGTCCAGGTTGGAGACCCTAGTTGAAAGGATCTGAGAGGATCTTGTGGTCCTTAGAGAGTCAGTCAATCAATCTGTGGGTGGAAAGTCCAAGTGGTGAGGAGTGGAACTCTCACAGGTTGTGCATCTTTCACCATGGTGACCACGCGAGGAGGAACGAGTACCGCCCCGTATGGTAGAGAGAGCAAGAAGAGCAAGCTGCTGCCTTGCTGAGAGAGAAAAGAGAAATTGTTGGAGCTTATAAAGCATGCGAAGATGCAAGAAAGAGGGGAACCCAGTGTGGTGCCAGAGATAAGGGCGAAAATGGAAAAGATGCTGACAGAGTGGGTGGCCAGGTT